TAGAACAGAGATAGATAGATATACAGATAGGTAGATGTTCAAATATATTCAGAGAAAATGAAGTTTTTCAGTGAATATATAAAAGCGTGAAAAAAGCATGTCATTGGCAAACTAAATAGAAACCGTTAATCGAGATTTCTCTCGCCATTAAAATTACTTCTTATTTCTTGTCTATTTTTATTTGATTCCTTATACTGTTTCTTTTTCTTTCTTTCTCGTAACAACCTACCACAGGAATTGTGAAGCAAACGCCAGGAAATTTATTTCTTCCCTTGGGGCAATGAATGAACATTTTAAAACAATTTTTTGTTCCGATTTCTTGAATGCTTACAGCTTCCTCTTTGCCTAAATGATTTTCGAGTAAATTTGTCGAAGAGTTCCTCAATTAAAACTTCGTGTTTCAATAAAAAAAAGATATAACTCCTTTTAAACAGTATTCCCGAATACAAGACGAATATAGATGGCTGTTATATAAGTATTTATATGTATAGGTAATATATATGGAAATATATATATATATATGTGTGTGTGTGTATGTGTATACAACTTATATAATATATAAGTTGCATATAAAAAAATATAAATGTTATATTGTCATATATATATATATATATATATATATATATATATATATATATATATATATATAAAACAACCTAAATATATATGGGATAAGTTGTTCTATATACATGCAGACACACATACACATACAGACACACACATATATATATATATATATATATATAAATATATATATATATATATAGTTTGTTGTATACATATATATATACATTATATATATATATATATATATATATATATATATATATATATATAGAGAGAGAGAGAGAGAGAGAAAGATAGAGAAAGGATTGGTTGATATATGTTGCGTATATGTATCGGTTATATATAAAGACTTAGATTTTAGTATATCAATTTATCTATGTACGTATAGTATAGGTTGTTTTATATATATATATATATATATATATATATATATAGTATAGGCTGTTGTATATATATGTCGGATAGTCTTATATATATATATATATATATATATATATATATATATATAAAAATATATGGATATAGATACGATAGTATGAAGAAAAAATATACAGTATATATTTTTCTCTCTATATATATATATATATGAATATATATATATATATATATATATATATATATATATATATATATATGTATTTGGTAGGGCATATAGAACACACACACACACACACACACACACACACACACACACATATATATATATATATATATATATATATATATATATATATATATATTATAAAAGTAGATCAGTCGATTACGCTACTTTGGTTTCAACCTTTCGATATCTGCAGGCGATTTCCGTCAACTGATTTCCTACCTGTTTTTTAAATAATAACACTTATGAATGCTATATTTCCACTTCATAGTGAACGCAAATGGAACTATTTAGTATGTATACAAATAGTCATACTTTCCGTCCTCTCATTCAAAAAGTTTTTGGTTTGAAATATTATGATAATTAACGTTCCTGTTGACAAATGTTGCACGTATACTATGATTATTGTAAGTTTTTGCTTTTTTTTAAAATTTTCCAGTTTACAATCAAATCTTTTTTTTATTTTAATTTTAATTTCAACACATGGTTGGATAGTCTAGTAGAATTCCTAAGACTTTCTATTTTAAAGGTGACTTTTGATTGTACCACCTCTTCTTGAAGTTACCATCAGTATTCCCTATGTATATTTTTCTGGCCATTATTTTTCACACCACTACCATCCGAACCCCTAGATTTATCTGTCATCTATCCGATAAAAGTACTATTCAAACTCATATTTGTTTATATGTCAATCCCTTCAGCTCGTAGACGATTATGTATCTCCCCTGACTGCGTTTCGATTTATCTGTGAATCCTCATTATTACTGCAGTCACAATAGTACGGGATTGTCAGCTTTTCTTCTCCTATTTTGATTACCTCCCACGCTAATAACCCACTATATACTGCAATTTATGCAAGAGATAGATTCCTGCCATTTTCCAGAAAAATTTGCCCGAAATTTACATAACAGAGTGGGCGAGAATTTGATCTCATCTCGTCAATTTACCTTTTCACGTCGATCGTTGTGGCACTGCGACAGTTCACTTCAGTTATTTATGACAACGTATTTATTCATTGTTTTACTCTCTCTCTCTCTCTCTCTCTCTCTCTCTCTCTCTAATATTGCATTTTATTACAATATTGGTGAATCTGTATTATTTTTTCTACTCCACACATTCATCATGTTCATATAAGTCAACTGATGACACTAAAAACATCTATTTAATCTACGATATTTCTTCTTCTTCAATGCAAGGCGTTTCTTCTGATTGGTCTGTCCTCGGTAAGACGATAAACTACATCGGGCTGCAAGGCCTCTGATCAGGAGGTTTTGAGGAGTGTGGAACCGACTCTTAATTGCTGGTGTTTCCCGTCCACCGTGACCCAGGGTGGTAGGACCTGCTAGGGTCCCAGCTATGGGCAAATAGTTAAGCCCCAAACTTGGTTCAAACTCCTTGAAAATGTAAAGATAGGGTTTACTACCAGAAATACTTTGTAAAAGAAAAACTATTTACCCACAGCTGAAACTTTAACAGGTACTACCACCCCGGGTCAGGGTGACATGGTAACAACGCCAACTCAGTGGTTCCACGCTCCTTAAAATCTCCTGATCAGAGACCTTGCTGCCGGATTGCTGGGGGTCTTACCCCACCGCAGAGAAACAGTCGACATATTTTGAAGCTCCAGAGTGACAGGTTTGTTTTGTGCTCTTTTAGGGATATCAATCACAATGGGTTATTTAATGCCGACAATTTTTATTGTCGGTAATAGTTCCCTTCAAAAATGTATTGCTGGTAATTTTTTTTTAAATGAATTGCTGGTAATATTTTTTTCTTCAAAAATTTATTGCTGGTAATTTTTTTTTTTTTTTTAAATGAATTGCTGGTAATATTTTTTTCTTCAAAAATGTATTTCTGGTAATATTTTTTTCTTCAAAAATGTATTGCTGGTAATATTTTTTTCTTCATAAATGTGTTGTTGGTAATATTTTTTTCTTCAAAAATGTATTGCTGGTAATATTTTTTTCTTCAAAAATGTATTGCTGGTAATATTTTTTTTTTTTTTCTAAAATGAATTGCTGGTAAAAAATTTTCTTCAAAAATTTATTGCTGGTATTTATTTCCTTCAAAAATGTATTGCTGGTATATTTTTTTAAATGTATTGCTGGTAATATTTTTTTCTTCGTAAATGTGTTGTTGGTAATATTTTTTTTTCAAAAATGAATTGCTGGTAATATTTTTTTCTTCAAAAATGTATTGCTGGTAATATTTTTTCCTTCAAAAATGTATTGCTGGTAATAATCCTTTTTTTTTCAAAAATGAATTGCTGGCAATAATTTTTTACAATGTTATTCTGGTATTAGAAGCTACTTTTCATACAGTTTTTGGTACTATTTTCATAGAGTTTTGACCTCAGTTTAGGTGTTAACTATTTGCCCATATTTGGGATCCTAACAGGCGCTGTCACCCCGGGTCAGGTTTGACCTTGGAACACCAGCAATTAAGAGGGGGTTCCACGCTCCTCAAAACCTCCTGATCAGAAGCCTTGCTGTTGTACGTATTTTATCGTCTTACCCAGGATACGGATGTAGTTTATCGTCATACCCAGGATAGGTTCCTTCTCAGTTTTTTCTGCGTATTCGGCAACGAATCTGCATTTCGTGTTAACACACTTTTTTCCGTATTTTTTGCTTGCTAATTACTACTTAGCAATTATTGGTCCTGGGCAAAAAAAACCTTTGGTTTCAGATTTTATCGGTGCACTATGCAACTGTTGATGGACATGCCATTTGTCTACATCTGATTGTTTAGCACGGACAGGGTACTGACCATGATGATGTTTTATCTTATCATCGTTTCTATAATTACTCCCTGCATGAAGCATGCAGTGGCATGTTAGATGCTTTCCCGTTTTCGGATCCATTCGCTTAATGGTAGCAATAGCCCGTTTCTTTAATGCCGTGTCCCCTCGCGACGTAGATGAATATGGCTCTCTGTTGTGGCCTTGTCAGGGCCAGAAATAAAGACACAAGGAGATGGACTGGGTTAAACAAATATATTAACAGTAATATAAACATATACAAACGAGGGTGTTATAGCAAGAATGTTCGGTCCGATTGTCAGAGCTGACTACAGAAAAATTCCCTCCACAAAAGGCAGTACCTGCTCCTATTTATAGCTGGAAGAGTCCATGCAAGCGTGTGTAAATCACCATAACAATATCTATCTACCTATCTATCTATCTATCTATCTATCTATCTGTTGTGGCCTTGTTAGGGCCTGAAATAAAGATACAAAACAGGAATTGAGTTAAACAAATATATTAACATAAACAGTATTATTTCTTACTGTTGTGTATGATACACCTAATTTACATAAGCGGACTACCGACCATATAAATATGGGTTGGTACCGGAAGACGGGGAAGATAGTAGAGATTAAGAAATTGAATCCAGAGACTCTGCCGACTGCGATTTAGTCAACCCATTATGCAGGAACAGTCTTCCCAAGAATATACCAAACTAACTGTAAATATTGTGTACCTATTCTTTGTTTCAATACATTTTGTTAACGTACATTTTGTGTTGTATTATTCCATGCTTATTTAAGCTTCAACACTTACTTTCACCTTAATTTGGGTATGCTGTATTTAATATTCACCGCTTTACCCTCTGTATTTATAGGCTTCTCCTTATTCTAGCCCCCTAAATTTTGTGAAAACAAAACAAGATCTACAGAATGTGTTTTTGTCAATTTCCCCATGTTACTATTGCACATTAACCTGAATTATATATTGATTTCGCCACTTCTTACATTATTAGGGAAACTTTTCAACTCATTTGATATCATTTATGCCAAACATTTCATTAAATACGTATTGGTGTTAACTTTA